ATTAAAGAGTTCTCTCAAAGTCTGCACTATCACAGAACTGAGTCCAATCCTGTGTACTGGACCCCCTAAAGTGGTTAGTTTCTCTCTGTCTCTTTGTCCCTACCCAGAAGTTTTACTCTGGATAACTCTTCTAAAGAGAGATTCAGCATGGCTCATATCTTTCCCCATGTGTAGGTTGCCTATTCCTGAGTAGATGTACAATATTGGCATTGTTTACGGGACAATCTCTATTTCACTCAATACAGAAAATGCATAAGATGCAAAGATCTCACAGGTGCCCATGAACAAATAAAAAAGTATAAAACACTCAACAGCCCAGTAGACTCATTAGATTCTGTCCAGAAGCTAGCTACATGGGGAATGCTGAACAAGCACACTCTTCTTAGACCTGAACCCCGAGACACTCGTGGCGATAACAGGACTGGTAAAAGATCTCTGGTGAGAAACACTTTTTAGAAGTGTTTGGGTCAGACAATGAATCTGGAAAGGTAGAGAGAATGGGTTGAGCTTTTCATCCCTTTCTTTACACATCAAATAATATATCCATCAAAGTCCAGCTCAAATCCCAGTTCCCTACATGAAACCTTCCCTGATAGTCTGAGCCTGAACTGAATTTTTCTTTAAAGGATCATAGCACTTATAGTCTCTTGCATTCATTCCCACACTCAACATTTCTTGCTTTCCATTGTAGTTATTTTTTCTTGTTACCCAGACAGTACTAGAGTTTAACAAGACTTATACTGACACCCTTCCCCCATGCTGATCCCCAAGTTATTTTCTTTGAGCCTCAGTTTCTTCATATGTAAAATGGGGGATAGTGGTGGAGGAAAGTTTAAGTAAATAATCGCTTAAATCCCCTTAAAATTCACTATCAACCAATCATAGATTAGAATAAACCTTAAACACTTGTCTCACTCAGATTCCTGGATCTCCCAAGACAGGGCTCCTGAAATGAGTGGGTACCTGCTGCTGTAGGGGCTACCTCCCTAACTGGATTAGAAGATCCACTTCTCTGAGTCTCATACTTCACTTAATGGCACCTTATACATAGTAGGTTCCCAATAAGTATTTGTAAGTAATGCAGAATGGTACCATTATCAGACACAGAAAAGGCATATAGTTCACTTTCATTCAGTTCCATACTCCTATGGTGTGAGAAAGACACTGGAGTTACAAAGCCGAAAATAGATGTGGTTCCTGCCTTCAAGGACTTTAAAATCAAATGAGTGGTGGGTGGGCAGATAGAAGAAAGATCAGTTGATTGGGAAACAGAAGACCTGGGTTCTAATTCCAGCCCTGTTATTAAAACCCTGTGTGATTTTGGTTGTTACTTATGCTCTCTGTAAGATGAATTGGACTAGATAATAATCTCTAAGATCTCTTCAAGTTCAAATTCTGTGATTCTCAAGTTGTTGTTTAGTCATTTTCAGTTGTGTCTGACTCTTGATGACCCCATGTTTCCTTGGCAAAGATACTGAAGTGGTTTGCCATTTCCTTCTCCAGCTCATTTTACAGATGAGTAAACTTAGGCAAACAGGATTAAATGATTTGCCCAGGGTCACCCTGCTAGTAAGTGTCTGAGGCCCCATTTGAACTCTCTTCCTGACTCCAGGCCCAGCACTTAGCTACTGTGCCACCTAGCTGTTCACGACCCTCAGGTACAGATGAGCATAATAAAGGATAGACTATGTTAAATGAAAAAGGAGAGATCCAAACAAGGTGTCATGAGAAGTCAGAGCAGAGAAATCACTTCCTGCTGGGGGAAGGGGAAAGTACTGAGAAAATAGGATGCAGATAAATTTGTCTTGGTATCATAGAAGTCATAGATAAGACTGGGGGAAGCATGATAACAGTAAGGGAAAGGTGATGGATGGGGGGGGGGGGTCTTGAAGGTCATGACCAGAGGGATTTGGTTTGATTCCTACTGCCCTCAAAGCTGAAGGATGCGGCATCAGTCTGGTGAGCTTCTGGTCCATGAAATAGAGAAGAGTGAGAAGGCTCAGAAAAGGCACAGAAAAGGCCTTAATAAGTTAATTGATTGATAAGGCATTAAGCTAAGGGGTCAGCCATTTGGCTTCAAACCATTTCCCCCTATTTATGCCATGTTACACCCCTTTACTCACTATACACTCTAGCTAAACTGGTGTTCATCCCAAGCCTGGAATGCTCACCTCCTCACCTCTGCTTCTCCAAAACTCCTTCATACCTCAGTTTAATGGCCACTTCCTATAAGAAGACTTTCTTAGGCTAACATGAACTGCTGCAAAGGAAAGAGAGCAGAAGTAGAAGAAAGTTGTACACAGTAACAAGAATATTGTTCAGTGAAGAACTAACTATGAATGACTTAACTATTCTCAGCAATATAATGATCCAAGACAATCCCAAAGGACTCATGATGAAGCATGCTATCCATCTCCAGAGAAAGAACTGATATCGTCTGAAGACAGACTGACGCATGTTATTTTTCACTTTCATTCCTTTTTTTTGAGTCTTCTTGTACAAAATGCCTAACACAGAAATGTTTTACATGATTGCACATGTATAAACTATATTGGATTGCTTACCATTTCAGGGAGGTGGGGAGGGGAGGGATAGAATTTGAAACTCAAAACTTTAACAGAAAATGTTAAAAAATTATTTTAACACGTAAACTGGGAAAAAAAATTTTAAATCCTTATTGATTCTTCTAATACTTCTGCCCAAAGTACTTTGTACTTATTTCATATATAGTTTGTACTCATTTGTGTACATATTATTCCTTGCCTTCCCTGCCTGCCCCCCTTCAGTAGGATGTAATCTCCTTGAAGGCAGGAGATTGTTTTGTCACCAAAAAGCATTTAAGCACCTACTTATTAGATACCAGGGCAGCTAGGTATCTAAGTAGATAGAAGACTTATTTTCGTGAGTTCACATCACCCTCTGATACTTACTAGCTGGGTGACCCTGGGCAAGTCACTTCACCCTGTTTGCCTCAATTTCCTCATCTGTAAAATGAGTTGAAGAAGGAAATGGCAAACCACTCCAGTATCTTTGCCAAGAAAACTTGGGGTGATAAACAGTTGGGCATGACAGAAACCACTGAACAGCAAAATACTAGGTACCAAGCATTCTACTAGGCCTAGTACTACATACTACAAAAACAAAAGTGACCTCAGGAAACTTATATTCTACTCGGCATGGTGGTGTGTTTTTCAAATGTTAATACATCAGCATATATACCAGATATATACAAAAGAATTACAAAGTTATTTGTTGGGGGATGGCTGACACTATTAAATAACATGGCAATCGGGAAAGGCCTCCTCCCACTGACGGCACTTAGCTGAGCTTTAAGGGAGCCAAATTCTAAATGGTTCATATTCTTAACACCTGCAGAGGTAGCAAACTCATCTTTTAAGTGCTTGGTGAATTGGAGGTGAAGGAAAAGTGGATCATATCCCACCATTCATTTCCTTTTTCCCACTTTTCTAACCACAAAACCAGAGTGGTCTTTGACCACAGTTTTTAGCCAGGAGACTGTCTTTGCAAATTGCAGGTGGCTCCGCTGGGGGAAGAGAGTCTCCTGGACGTCAAGCATTGCCTTTAAGAAGCCAGAACCCACTTCATAAGGAAAACACTTACTCAAGTAAAACATTTACTGTCTACTATGTGCCAGGCACTATGCTGAGGATGGAGAGGAAAGGGATAAACATTACTGTAGTACCAGCTGTGCCAAGAGCTTTAAAAAAAAGTACAAATATTATCTCACCTGATCCTCATAATAATCTCTAGAGGTAGGGGCTACTATCACCATTTTTCAGAGGAGGAACCTGAGGCAAACGGAGGTTAAGTGACTCACCCAAGGCCACACAGCTTTCATAAGAAGCTGCATTGCAATTGGAACCCAGGGCTTCCTGACTGCAGCCCTGGCGCTCTCTACACTGCGCCACCAGGGGGCTCACAAATGCAAATCCAGGTCCTGCCCTCAAGGAGCTTACACACGGGGGGGGGGGGGAAGGATACACTGTGCAAAAAGCTACGTATGAAGCAGCTTCACATACAGACTCGCCCTCTACAAGGAAAATGGCAGACAATCGACAAAGGGCATGCATTAGCATCAAAAAAGAGGCATCTTGCAGAGGTGAGCTTTGAAGCTGCAACACTTGAACCTAAGCGATAATCCTGGTTTTTGGAGCTCATTTTACAGATGAGGAAACTGAGGCTCGAAGAAGTGACCTGGGGACCATAAAAACTGGTGGCCCATGGGACAAGGAAGAGGGGTGCAGAAAGAAAACCCTCGAGGTCTTCGCTCGCCCACCACCCCACGCTAGGTCCTCGCGCAGTCTGTTAGCTTGTAAGGGTGGGGGGAGAGGCAGCGAGGAGGCGGGGGAAGGGGGTGAAGCGAAGACGCGCGGGCGCGGGGAGTCACGTGACGTCCTCCGCCGACCCGGAGGCTCAGGCCTGGTCTGGGCTCCCCTCCTCCTCTTCCGCTCCCGCCCCCTCCCAGCTGGGCACCAGCACGAGGCTGTGTGCAGAGGGGCGGGATGGGAGGCGGGGGGGGAGGAGAAGGAGGAGGAGGAGGAGGAGGAGCCGGTTTCACCCGGAATGAAAACAAACAGCGACCCGCTTCATCCGGGGACTTTCCGGAACGCTGGCGAGCTCTGATCGTAGCGCTGCTCAGGTGAGTGAGGCTTCTGGGCCGGGCTGAGCTAGGAGGGCTGAGGGGCGGACGCCGGCCCGCCTGCTTCCCTGCCTCCTGCCAGCCCAGCCTCCTTTGGGGTCGGCGTCGGCCGCGCCCCATGGGCACGCCCCAGCCCCCGGGAGCCTCCCGGGACTGCGGGGCGCCCGGGCTTTCTTCGTCCTCCGGGGAGCTGAGGGGCAGTGGATGTGTGAGGGGTCTGGGACCGGCGCTGGGTTTGCAAAGGTAACTCCGGGGGAAGCTGATGGTCCCACGGGAGGCGGGGCGGCGAGGGGAGGGGCGGGGCGGGGCGGTCCGGGTCCTCCTCCCTTCCTCACCTGACCCGGGGGGGCGGGGAGCCCAGGGCTGGGAGAAGGTGCTTCCATCTTCTATTCATCCTGGCTCTTGTCTGCTGAACCAGACCTGGCTCCCTTTCTCCCCCTACCCCTACATCTCCAGGCACTGAGGAGGAGGGTGGTCACTGTGGGGAGCGAGCCCCTTCTTCTTGGTTCCCCAGGCAAGGCTGCCCCGCCCCGGGTAAGGACGAAGTGGGGTGGATGACGCGGGGGTGAATGTGGCCTGGGGTTGAAGCGCACGGTCTCTCGGTGGGACCCCGCTGGGGAGGCGGGAGGCAGGGGTGGGGGGCTGTGTGGCACTACTACCTCGTCGCCGACACGACCTGTAAGACCGGTTGGGTACTTACTTAAACCTTTGTTTATAAGCTCATAGCTCATAATTTAAACCACAGCAACATGAGATTGTAATTAAAATCAAAGAGTTCTAATTAAAAGTACAAAGTGTGTGGTTTAAGGTTTAGTCAACAGTAGGTTCTGTTGGACTTTTGATTGCCTCATTGTTCTGTAGGTGGATAGGTGAATGTTACTTTCCAAAATCCTAACTTTCTGCTGTTAGATTCCCTCCTTTGCCCATTCCTCTCAAAGAATTTGTTACATTTCATAAGAAAAGTAAAAGTATGAACATTCTGGGAGATGTATAGTTAGGAAGTTTGGGAAGGTTGAACTTTTTTGTCAACTTAATGCAAAAGTGAAAATAAAGCTTAAGTATTCTTTATCCCTGGCCCTAAAATGGCACTTCAAAGAAATTTCACTTTCAGTTTTGTATTGTGGAGTGCAGCTTTGTTAGTTTTAATGTAAGACCCATGTATCAAATTTTTCTGTTCCCTCAAAACCCTCCCTCATTACCTATTGCCTTAGTAAGTCTGCTCACTGGTCTCTTAAAATCCCTCATACACATTTAAGCCAAGGGTGATATGCTCCAGAGTTCTGTTTCAGGACCAGAGTAATTTGTTGTTATAATCATAGGGCTAGAATAGCATGGTATGATGGAAAAAACCACAGGATTTAGAGTCAGAGAACCTGTGTCCAAATACTGGCTATGTGGTTCCTACTACCTATGTGCTGTTCAGTTAGTCATTTAACTTCTTTCAGCCTCATTTTCCTCATCTAGTTAGGTAAGATGATTCCAGGTTCCCTTTCAACTCAAAATTCTCTGATCCCAGTAAAGTGGTGCGCAGGTCTGATACCATCATTCTCCCATTCAAAAATCTTCAATATCTCCTTGTTACCTCCTCAGTAAAGTGTAAATTCAGCTTCTTATTCAAAGCCTTCTACAATCTGACTCTAACTCACCTTTTGAAGTGATAAGTGAGATAAACTCTAACTACTTGTCACTTGGTCTTCCTTGCTGACATATCTTTGCTCATGCAGTCTTTTCCACATAGAATGTACTTTCACATTCTTCAAGGCTCTACTAAGTTGAACCTGGTCCAATTGGTAGACAAGACCAAAACACCTTAACTATAATACTGTTAATAATAATATTGTACACTGCCTTTTAGGCATAAGGCTGCCAGGAATAATTTTATTTATTTTAATGCTATTTCATATTCAGGCAGTTTCTAACTTACAGAGAGAGGTCCAAAATGGAATCGTTCCCTATGTTCTCGTACTTCAAGACAGTTTGAGGTACTGATGGGGTTATGGGACTTGGACCCCTAAAAGGAAAAGACCATGTCTTTGAAAGCAACCGAGTCCCTGAATTTTCCCATACGTTTCAGCAGCCCAGATCACTGTGCCCAAGGCAACTGGCCCACCCCAGCCTACCCTGATCACCGCCTAATTAGCTTACTAGACATTCCTTTCACTGTAGCTCTTGGCCCACTCCAAACTATTTACAACTCCTTAATCCCAACCAGATCCTATCCTTTTTCTATATAAGCATCAGTCTCAACCCCAATTAAGTAGAAGGTTCACTGGGAACCTGCCCTCTTTTATTGGCATTACAGTAAACCTTGTCATTTGACTGGAAGAAGGTTTGAGTTTGTGAATTCATTCCAGGTGGATACTGCCCTGTACCCTGACATTTTGGGGTTCCCAGCAACCTCAAACCGTGTCATCAGGTTCCTAGCAGCCCTTTACCGAATCAGTACCATTTATAACAATCTTCAACAAGGAAAAGGTTATAGTATCTTAAATTATAATTTCACGTTAATATTCCAAAACAGTAATCACTACTCAGTTTCTTCCTTGTTGTTGTTGTTCAGTCATGTCTGACTCTTCCTGATCCCCATTTGGAGTTTTCTTGCCAAAGACACTGGAGTGGTTTGCCATTTCCTTCTCCACCTCATTTTACAGATGAGGCAAACAGCTTTAAGTGACTTGCCCAGGGTCACCCACCTAGTAAGTATCTGAGGCTGGGTTGGAACTCTGAACTTCCTGACTTCAGGCAAAGCTCACTATCTACTGCTTCACCCTGGCCACCACTCTTGAGGATTAAAAAGAGTTTTTACCCTGTGATAAGTATGACCTTGAAGGCGAAAGAGGGCGCTGCCATTAAGTTGGTTCCCAAATCTCTAAATGAGGCAGTGATTCTAGTTAGATAAGAGTTAAGTTTGGTTATCATCCTTAATACATTTGTCTTAAGAAAGGCCCATTCTTAGCTTTCTATACATTTTTAGGAAAAAACTCTGGAAAGAGTTCAAGACTAGAGAAATATTTATTTCTTAAATATTTATTATTTATTATTATATATGTTAATATAATATATTAACATATTATTATATAATATATAATTATATTAATATTATTTGTTTATTATTATATTAAATTTATTATTTATTTATTATTATTTATTCTTAAATTTATTCTTAAATATTTATTTCTTAACTATTTTCAGTTGAACACAGTAAGGTCACAAGATAAAGTGCTGTGTGAGGTGGGGAGGGAAGAGAAGGAAAATTGTTTGCAATGAGGGAGATCAGAGAACATCCTACAAGAGGAAGCGTTTGACTTGGGCTTTAAAGGATAGATGGGAATTCACAGGTAAAAGAAGGGAGGGCATTCTGGGCAAACAGCTTGAGTGGAAGCATGAGAATTCAGTGTAGGGGGCTTAAATGGTTATCTAATTTGCTGAGAGTGTAGAGCAGGTTCTCCACCCCTAGTGTAGAGTATAGATGGAGGCAGGGTAATATGAGAAAAAGCTGGGATGATACCAAGTTGTTGTGGAAAGCCTTGAATGCTCAGCAAAGAAGAATGACCTTTACTTGATAATTAATAAGGAACTATTAAAAATTTTTGAAACAAAGCAAGATGTAACCAGATCTATGTGTTATAAAGATTATTCTGTCAGCAGCATAAAGGAGAGAGATTGGAGATTAGGAAGACCCCTAAGGAGATGGTTTAGACATCTAGTAATAAGCCCTGAACTACGTACAGTGGACTTGGTAAATGATTGATTGGATATGAGGAATGAGGGAGGGGGAAGAATCAAAGCTAGCAAGATTGCCAAAATGGGAGACTGAATTAGTGGTGGTGTCACAGGCAGAAATAATGAAATCAGAAAAAGGAACAAGTTTGGGGAAAAGGTTAAGTTCCGTTTTGGACATGTTGAGTTTGAGGTATTTGAAGAATACCCAGGTGGAGATGCCCTATAGGCAGCCAGTGATCTAAATTCAAACCTCAAAACAGAGGTCAGGACTAGTAACAGGTTTTGAATTCACCTGCATAAAGGAAGTATTTTGAAGCCATGGAGTGAATTATGTTGCTGAGGGAGAGAAGAGAACCAAACCCTGAAACTTGTAGAATATACTAGAAGGTGTTGGGAATAGGGCAGAGAGAACAACCTGAAGGAGCTGTGACTCTGCAACCAGTGGAAGAGAGAGAATGTACAAGGGGAGGGGGTTGTCAACGTTGTCAGAGAGGATGATAACTGAAAGAAATGTCACTGGATTTGGTGATTAGAGAGCCATTGGTGACCTTAAAACAGTTTTGGTAGAGTGGTGGAGCTGGAAGCCCAGATACCAGGGAAGATGTGGGTAATGAGGAAGCGGAGACATGAGGTGTAGACAATTTTTTTTACTTTCATTAAGTGAAGGGGAGGAAAGAGATGGGATTGTAATTGGATTGCCTAACAAGGTCAGATGAAGGCTTTCATAGAATTAGAGAAACATGTATATATTGATTTACAGGGGTGGGAAACCTGCAGCCTTGAGGCCACATGTAGCCCTCTAGGTCCTCAAGTGCAGCCCTTTGATGAATCCAAACTTCACATAACAAGTCCCCTTAAAAAAGGATTTGTTTTGTAAAACTTGGACTTGGTCAAAAGGCTGCACCCAAGGACCGAGGAGGCCATATGTGGCCTCGAGGCCACAGGTTCCCTACCCCAATTTAGTATCAGAGGATCTATCGAGGTATTTGGTAAAAACTTATAGAAAATGTACTTTTAAGTAAATGTGTCTCATTGGTAATGTTCCATCTGTACCAGAGGATGGCAACCTTCTGGATAGAGTTAGTTTTGGATGAGTTGGTTTGATTTAATACTCTGGGTAATATTGTTGAAGTTATAGCTACTAGACCAGGGAGTATTCTTCTCTTTCAACCCAGACTGTACTGTCACTGATAAAATGTGTAAATTCTTTAACTGCAACCTAGGTGGACAAGCTGGAAACTTGTGAGGAAGAAGGGTGAGTAATAATAGGAGAATGAAGCAGAGAAGACAGTTTTAAAATACTTTGAGGAGGTCTTTTTAGTAGTTAAAATTTATTTTTTGATAGGCAAAAATTTGCACCAGACTAATATCTGCTTGCGAAATACTCATTTAGTCTCTGAAGGCTTAAAACAAGGAACAGTTGAAGAACTGTGAGCAGTGGTTAACTGGGGTTTTTTAAGTTAGTTGAAAAAGGTGATAATGATCTAAATAAAGCTATTTCGAATTTGAGAAGTGGCTTATTAATCATTTAGAACTTACTGAGCATGTCTTTCAGATATGTTCCCCCTCCTTAGTTCCCTATTTTAACTTTCTCTTTTTCCTCGCTCTTTCCATTCTCTTTTTAGCCATTCTCTATCCTTTTCTCTTTCTTCCACATCTTTTCATACTTGTGACTTGTGGCCACCACTTCCCTGGCCACCACTCCTCTATATGTGTTGCTCTCTGTATTATAAAGTAAGGTCTTTGAGGGCATGAACTGTCTTGCTTTTGTTTTTGTATCCTCGTTGTTTAGAATGGTGCCTTGAATGTAGTCAGGGCTTAATAATTGCCTTTTCATTCTTTGAATTTCCTTTACCTCAACTAAACTAATATGTAATTTAAACCTAATTTTAGATAGAAAAAAAGTTTCCTACCCCAGTGGTATAACCTTAATCCTCACTTCACTTTTTGAATGCTTTCTGTACCTTAGTTAGACTTGTCTTGATTATGCACAAGCTAATAACTTGTCCATACATCCTTACATTTTCTCTACACATTGTATATCTGCCACAGCTCCTCATTTGATCATGTAGTGAAAATGAGAAAAAAGAGCCTGAGTGGTACACTGATATCCCCAGGATATTAATAGGTTGAAAGAAAGCTCTTTAGAGTGTTGGGTGGGGTCTTTGGAATGACATGGATTAAAAAACACATATGTGGAGAGGTTTGGGAATCTTCACTGGTGTTAGCAGTTAACCACACAGATAAAAGAACAGATTGACCAAAACACCAAGATTATGTCTTATTAAGCTTCTAATTGACCTTTGGTAGGGCCTGGTACTTTGATAGAGCTCTGTACTCAGTCATTGTTATCAGCATTTTTACCTTTCTTCTACAGCTTCACCCCCATCAGCAAAATATTCAGTCTTCTTTGTCTTTGATACAAAGATTAATCAAAAACATACTGCTTTACTTTGTGAATCGGTAAGCATGCTGACAGAACAGAATAGCAACAAATAATTGAGTAATGAAGTATATATGAAATGGCACCTTACATAGAAAATAATTTTTGGTTTTTAAAAAAATTCAGTTCTGTTTTAAGAAAGGAGTCTAAAATGTTTTGTTTTTTTTAAGACAATTTATCTCTTTTTCTGCTATAATTATAAAGTCTAATGATGGATTAAAGAAGAATTTAGAGGGTGGGCAAGGGAGTCTAAAGAAGACAAAATTCAGACCTACAGATCTTACCACGTGTTAGCATCTCTAATAAAAAGGTTCGTAAAGGAAAGAAACTGAAATGATAACACCTCCCTAGTTTATATTAACTGGGGATGGGTAACTGATTATTCTAGTCCAAAAAGACACCACCACCATACTGTGTAAGTTCTAGTTACACTCTAAAATATTCCTTTATATCTGTTTTTTAAAGGATGGCACAAAAGAAATATCTACAAGCAAAACTGACCCACTTCTTAAGGGAAGACAAAATTCAACTTTGGAAACCTCCATATACAACCGAGAACAAAGAAGCTGGTTTGGTGTTGAAGGTATTAACTTTTCTTATAAAACATCAAAACTGGTCAGTAATTCATATCTGATGTCTAGTGAAGTGACTATTGAAGATACCAAAGTGTCAGAATCATAACTATGTAAAATGCAGAATCTCTGTTAGAGTTTTGCTGATAAACAAGTGGCAAGTTAATGCCATCATTTCTCCCACCAAGCATTCTTGTCTTTATGAATCTTTTCAGTAAGGGCCCATCCATAATGACAATGAAATCTTTTATTTCTTTGTGGTTTTTTTATGATTAATTATAATAGTATTAAAATTAAGATTTCCCCCCCAATTTATTAAAGAACTAAAATTGAAAGAAATGTAGATATTAACATTGATATCATCGCTCAGTAGTAGAGTACCAATTAGTTACTGTTGAATTATTTAAACTGATGTTTCTTAGCTGCTTCTACTGTCACACATTGTAAAAATGGATTTAATTTTTTGTACACTAGTCTTCAAATAGCCTACTTATTTTTCTCATTTGGTGCATATAGAATGTTAAAAGAGTTTTTTGTCATTCAGTTGTTTCAGTCATGTCTGATTCTTCATGACCCCATTTGGGGTTTTCTTGGAAAATATCCTGGAATGGTTTGCCATTTCCTTCTCCACCTCATTTTATAGGTGAGGAACTGAGACATACAGGGTTAAGTGACTTGCCCAGGTTCACACAGTTAGTAAGTGTCTGAGGCCAAATTTGAACTCTGGAAGATGAATCTGTCTGACTCCAGGTATGTAACTCTATCTGAGGCCTACATACTGGATAGATTCTTTAAGGAAGATTTTTGGGAGGACATGGATGAATGAGATTCATAAAGGAATGCATTGGTGGGAATGCATGATCTGTGTTATTTGAGCAAATTCCCATTTCTATAAGATCATGTGTCCACTGTGAGGGAAAATACTTAAAAAAGGGGTTGACTGTAACTGCTGCATTGATATTCATGCAGTGACATCAAGAAGGAGAATGTGGTTAACGGTACTGAATGAGAAGGTACGGATGGTTTGTCATCTGCACTGAGGGAATACCCAAATGAATGAGATTCAAAAATCTGTGGAATTGTTCTAAATATTGTAATATTTCATTTACTTAACTTTTTTCCCAGAATAAGTTGTTCCATATAGATAACTGAAACTTACCTTGTTCAACAGAGGAACTTAATGTTAAACATTTTTAATGGAATCTCTGCAAAATATACTACACATTTCCTATTATCTTAAAGTCTTCCTGGCATGATTTAACCATCACTTTATGACCAAGCCATCATTATGAATACTAATTTTACACTCTACTGTAATGCAATGAAGACTCCAGGGCCATTCAGGTATATCAGGCTATAGGACTAGACTGCTATGCTTTCTGTTGTTTTCCTGCTTTCTTTAGTCAGCTGTGACTTCTTGGTATTATCTTTTTCTTTAGAGATCCCACCCTCCCTTCAGATTTGTGGCATCTAAATCTTTGTAGGAATCCACCCATGTTAGAATTGTATTTAAAATAAGAGTTAGTAGATTTAAGAGTGATGACTTCAGAGAATTTCTTACGAATAAAATATGTGAAATCTTTCTGCTCCAAGGCCTTTTTTTGTTTACTTGTCTGTGTTCCAAATAGTTGAGATCTATGGCTAAATGACTTCCGGATTAGTTGTTATACTGGAACTGAAGACAACTTTTTGGCCACCAGAGAATATTTCTCAGTACTGTATTCCTGAACACCCAAGAATGATCCTTTGGAATAAGATTACCTTGAGTAGCTCTCTGTTGAGGACTAGAATTTGAGATTTACTTTTGCATATATAAATATCTCTGAGGCTTCTAACATAGCAAGAATTGGCATCTATCACAAATATGTATTTTAGAAAATTCCATTTTATTAAGTTAATATTAGGATGAATTTTACTTTAGAAAAGCTCTGACGGGGAAGAGCCAAGCTGGCAGAGAACAGGCAGGGACTTGCCTGAGCTCTCCTAAATTCTATAGACAACTTTAAATACACCTCAAAACAAATTCTGGAGTGGCAGACTCCAGACTTCACCTGTAAAAGAACTGGGTGAAACAATTTTCCAGCCCAAGACAACTTAGAAGGTTGACAGGAAAGGTTTGTCACACTGAGGTGAGAGTGAAGTGCAGGTGGTGCCCCAACAAAACCAGAGGAGGGCTTTGGAAATGGGTAGTAGGTGGGAGATGACTGAATCAGCAGTGGCAATGACTGTTTCTGGAGCTCCCAGCACACAGACAGTAAGGGGGTCAGACAGCTAGTCAGAAGGAGATTACAGGGGTCCCTTTACTGACACTGGGTGCAGGACTCTGTGACATTGCCCATACTAAGATTCAGGTCATAGTCCTGGGTTGTAGTCCTAGGGTGAGGAGGAGCACTAGCACACCAGAGCTTGCAGCCACAGGGGAGTGGAGACTCTGGTCACAGTTCCACAGCAAAAGAGAGTGCTTGTGGTCACTTAGAGACCATAGCATAGGCTAAGAGAGAGTAAACACACCTCTCCTTAGACCATGCCACCTTAGAAGAACTGAAAGCTGACACACCCTCACAAGTAGCTGCACAAAAAACCTGAAGCTTGGGACAGTGCCTCCTTCATCCTGGGAGTAGAGTCCAACTTTAGTATAAAGTTAAAAGTCAAGAAATAGGCTGAGAAAGTGAGCAAGCAAAGAAGAAGGATCCTGACCATAGAAAGTTACTGTGATGACAGGGAAGATCAAAACACAGACTCGGAAGATAGCAGAGCCTTAAAGAAAAAATGTGAATTGGTCTGAGGCACAAAAAGAATTCCCAGAAGAGCTCAAAAAGGATTTTAAAAAAATCGAATGAAGTAGAGGAAAAATTGGGGAGAAATGACAGTGATGCAAGAAAATCATGAAAAAAGAGTCAATAGCCTGGTAAAGGAGGCACAGATATAACTCCTTAAAAAGCAGAATAGGTCAAATGGTAAAAGAGGTACAAAAATCCATTGAAGAGAAGAATGCCTGAAAAAGTAGAATTGGCCAAATGGAGAAAAATATACACAAATTCACTGAAGAGAAGAACTCCTTAAAAAGCAGAATTCATGGGGCAGCTAGGTGGCACAGTGGATAGAGCACTGGCCCTGAAGTTAAGAGGACCTGAGTTCAAATCTGACCTCAGACCAAACACTTGACACTTCCTAGCTGTGTGACCCTGGGCAAGTCACTTAACCCCAATTGCCTAAAAAAAATAAAAATAAAAAAACTAAAAAACCAGAATTTGCAAAATGGAAAAGAAGGTACAAAAGCTCACTGAAGAAAATAATTTCTTAAAAATTAGAAGTGGGCAAGCGGAAGCTAATGACTCCATGAGACATCAAGAAGCAATAAAACAATTAAAAGAATGGAAAAATGGAAGAAAAAATGAATTATGTCATTGGAAAAACACTGACCTGAAAAATAGATCAAGCAGAGATAATTTAAAAATTATTTGACCATATTATATGATCATATCAAAATTATTTGATCATATTATATGATCAAAAAAAAAGAGCCCAGATGTCATCTTTCAAGAAATTATTAAGGAAAACTCTCCTGATATTCTAGAACCAGAGGGTAAAATAGAGATTGAAAGAATACACTGATCACCTCCTGAAAGAGATCCTCAAATGAAAACACCCAGGAATATTATAGCAAAATTCCAGAACTCCTAGGCCAAGGAGAAAATGTTACAAGTAGACAGAAAGGAATAGTTCACATCTCATGGAGCCACAGTTAGGATAAGACAAGATTTAACAGCTAGTACATTAAAGGATCAGAGGGCTTAGAATATGAGCTTCTGGAGGGCAAAGGAACTAGGATTACAACCAAGAATTACCTACCTAGCAAAACCAAGTATAGTCCTTTGGGGAAAAAATGCTATTCAATGAAATAGGACTTTCAAGCATTCCTGATGAAAAGACTGGAGCTGAATAGAAAATCTCACTTTTTTTTTTCTCTCATTTTTATTTTTATTTTTTTTTTTACATTTTTTTTAAACGTGTTTTTAAAACTTGGGGTTCCAAATTTTCTCCCTTCCTCCCTCCCCACCCACCCTCATTGAGAAGGCAAGCAACTCAATATAGGCTATACATGTGCAGTTATGCGAAACACTTCCATAGTAGACATGCTGTGAAAAACTAACTCTATTTCCCTTAATCCTATCCCACCCCCCATTTATTCTATTCTTTCTTTTGACCCTGTCCCTCCTCAGAAGTATTTGCTTCTGATTACCCCCTTTCCCAATCTGCCCTCCTCTCTATCATCCCCCTACTCTCTTGTCCCCTTCCCCCCCCATTTTCCTGTAGGGTAAGACAGATTTTCATACCCAATTGAGTGTGTATGTTATTCCCTCCTTAAGTCAAATCCTATGAGAATAAGCTTCACTCATTTCCTCTCACCTTCCCCCGGTTCCCCTCCACTGTAAGAGCCTTTTCTTTTCTGTTTTTTTGTGAGATAATTTACCCTGTTCTACCTTTCCCTTTCTCCTAGTATAATCCTCTTTCACCCCTTAATTTTATTCTCCAGATATGACCCCTTCATCTTCAACTCACCCTGTGCCCTCTGTCTATCTATCTATCCATCTATCTATCTATATATATATACACATATACATATAATTTTTTCCATCCAACTACCCTAATACTGACAAAGGTCTTATGAGTTACAAATATCATCTTTCCATGCAGGAATGTAAACAGTTCAATCTTAATAAGTCTCTTATGATTTCTCTTTCCTGTTTACCTCTTCATGTTCCACTCGAGTCTTGTATTGGAAAGTCAGATTTTCTATTCAGCTCTGGTCTTTTCATCAAGAATGCTTGAAAGTCCTCTATTTCACTGAAAGACCATTTTTTCCTCTGAAGAATTATACTCAGTTTTGTTGGGTAGGTGATTCTTGGTTGTAATCCTATCTCCTTTGCCCTTCGGAATATTATATTCCATGCCCTGCGGTCCCTTAATGTAGAAGCAGCTAAATCTTGTGTTATCCTGATTGTGTTTCCACAATACTTGAATTGTTTCTTAAATATTTTCTCCTTGACCTGGGAACTCTGGAATTTGGCTACAATATTCCTAGGAGTTTTCCTTTGGGCATCTCTTTTAGGAGGAGATCAGTGGATTCTTTCAATTTCTATTTTGCCCTCTGGTTCTAAAATATCAGGACAGTTTTCCTTGATCATTTCTTGAAAGATGATGTCTAGGCTCTTTTTTTGATCATGGCTTTCAGATAGTCCAATAATTTTTAAATTCTCTCTCTTGGATCTATTTTCCAGGTCAGTTGTTTTTCCAACGAGATATTTCACATTGTTTTCTAATTTTTCATTCTTTTGGATTTGTTTTACAGTGTCTTGATTTCTCATAAAGTCACTAGCTTCCATTTGCTCTATTCTAATTTTTAAGGAAGTATTTTCTTCAGTAGTCTTTTGGACTTCCTTTTCCATTTGTTCAATTCTGCTCTTTAGGGCATTCTTTTCTTTTTCTTTTTTTTTTCTGGTATTTTTTCAGTGAGGCAGTCAGGGTTAAGTGACTTGCCCAAGGTCACACAGCTAGTATGTGTCAAGTGTTTGGTCTGAGGCCGGATTTGAACACAGGTCCCCCTGACTTCAGGGCCAGTGCTCTATCAACTGCACCACCTAGCTGCCCCTAGGGCATTCTTTTCTTCATTGGCTTTTTGGACCTCTTTTGCCTTTTAGGTTAGGCTATTTTTTAAGGTGTTATTTTCTTCAGTATTTTTTTGGGTCTCCTTTAGCAAGCTGTTAACTTGCTTTTCATGATTTTCTTGCATCACTCTCATTTCTTTTCCCAGTAAGTAAGTAAGTTTCCTCTACTTCTCTTACTTGCTTCTCAAAATCCCTTTTGAGCTCTTCCAAGGCCTGGGACTGATTCATATTTTTCTTGAAAGTTTTGGATGTAGGAGCTTTGACTTTGTTTTCTTCTTCTGGTTGTATGTTTTGATCTTCTTTGTCACCAAAGTAAGATGATATAGTCTGACTCTTTTTGCACTGCTTGCCCATGATTCCAACCAATTACTTGAGTTTTAAACTCTTTGTTAAGATAAGAGTCTGTTTCCAATGTGGAGAATGTACTGTCCCAAGCTTCGGGGGTTTGTACTGCTGTTTTCAGAGATACTTCTAGGGACCTGAAAAGTGTCAGTTCTTCCAAGGTGCTATGATAAGGGGTAAGGTGTTTCCTCTCCACCGCCACAAGAAGTTCCACCGCGTCAACACTCTTCCTCGCTCCAGGACCGCCCCTCAGAACTGTGACCCAGATCCAAGCACGGGCAAAGCAAGAGATTCCTGCCTCAGCCCTGGCAAAGAGATCCTTGCAATCCCCTCTCTGATCAGCCACTCGATTCCCCCTCAGTCTGTGGGCCGGAAGCTCAGAAGGCAGCCGCTGCCCTCGGGGCGGCTGAGATCTAGCTGCTTCTCTCACTGCAGTCACAGACTTTTCCCACTGACCTTCTAAGTTGTCTTTGGCATTCCTGGGTTGAGAAGTCTGGAAACTGCCACAGCTGCCTCTGATTCAGTCCTCTGGCGCCTGCTCCAGGGTCGCTGCTGCCTGCACGCCCACGCCAAACTGTGCTCCTCTCCCTGCCCAGCGCGATATACCTTTATGATCAACCGTCCAGGTTGTCTTGGGCTGGACATTTGTTTTACTCTGTGTTTTTGTGGGTTCTGCTGCTTTAGAATTTGTTTAGAGCCATTTTTTGTAGGTATTTGGAGGGGTCTGGGGGAGAGCTCTAGCAAGTCACTGCTTTCCCTCTGCCATCTTGGTTCTGCCCCGCTAGCTCTCAAAAATTTCACTTTCAAATACAAGACTTAAGAGAAGCATTGAAAAGGTAAACTGGAAAGAAATCCTAAGAGTTCCAATAAGATTAAAATGTTTACTTTCTTTTTTTTTGGTGAGGCAATTGGGGTTAAGTGACTTGCCACGTTCACACATCTAGTAAGTGTTATTTGTCTGAGGCTGGATTTGAACTTGAGTCCTCCTGATTCCAGGGCCAGTGCTCTATCCATTGTACCACCTTGCTGCCCCAAATGTTTACATTCTTACATGGGAAGATACTTGTAACTCCTAAGAACTTCCTCATTAGAGCAGTTAGAAGGAATATACATAGAGGGCATGAGTGCAAATTGAATATGAGAGAATGATTATCTCAAAGATAAGATGAAGAGGTGAAAAAGAGGAATGCAGTGGGAAAAGGGGAAGAGGACAGGTAGAATGGGGTAAATCATCTCACATAAAAGAGGCTTGAAGGAGCTTTTACAGTGGAGGGGAACATGGGGGAGGGGAGGAGCAGGTGAACGTTACTGTCATTGGAATTGGCTCAGAGAGGGAATAACACACACACTCAGTTGTGTACAGACGTTTGTCTCACCCTGCAGGAGAGTATGAGAGCCAGGGGATGAGGGAGGGGCAGTAGGTCGGCAAGAAGGGAGGGCCAATTGGGGGATGCGGTAGAAGCAGGATATTTTTGAGGATGGACAGGGTGAAGGGGAGAGAGAGAGAGTAGGATAAATAGCAAAATGGGATAGAGGGAAATACAGTTAGTAATCCTAACTGAAAAAATTTTTACAGCCAGCTTTCTCTGATAAAGACCTCATTTCTCAAATATGAGAACTGAGTCAAATTTACACAAATAAGGGCCATTCCCACGTGATAAATCGTCGATGCATGTGAACAGGCAGTTTTCAGAAAAAGTAATTAAAACTGTCGTCATATGAAAAAATGCTCTAAATCATTGATTAGAGAAATGCAAATTAAAACAATTCTGTGATATCACCCCACTCCTGTCAGATTGGCTAATATGACAGAAAGGGAAAATGACAAATGTTGGAGGAGATGTGGGAAAATTGAGACACTAGTGCACTGTTGTTATGGATCTATGAACTGATTCAACCATTCTGGTGAACAATTTGGAACTATACTTAAAGGGCTATAAAACTTTCATACCCTTTGACCCAGCAATACTACTACTAGGTCTTTATCCCAAAGGGATCAAAAACAAAAAGGAGGACTATATGTACAAAAATATTTATAGTAGCTCTTTTTGTGGTGGCAGAGAATTGGAAATCGAGAGGATCCCCATCAATGAGGGAATGGCTGACCAAATTGTGGTGTATGATTGTGATGAAGTACCATTGTGCAACAAGAAATGACAGACAGAGTGCTCTCAGAAAAACCTGGAAAGACTTACATGAACTGATGCAAAATGAAATGAGCAGAACCAGTAGAACACCGTACACAGTAACAGCAATATTGTAGGATGATCAGCTGTGAATGACTTAACAGTTCTCAGCAGTATAATGATCCAAGACAGTTCAGAAGGACTTAGGATAAAAAATGCTATCCATCTCCAGAGAAAGAACTGATGGAGTCTGAATGAAGATTTAAGCATACTTTTTTTTTTACTTTATTTTTCTTGTGTGGTTTTTTGGTCTGTGTTTTCTTCCACAACATGTCTAATATGGAAATATGTTTTGCATGACTGCACATAATATAACCTATATCAAATTGCTTGCCTTCTTAGGGAGGGGGGGGGGAGAGAGAGAGAATTTGAAACTCAAAATTTTAAGAAGTGAATGTTGAAAATTGTACATGTAATCAAGGAAAAATAAAACATAAAAAAATTAAAATTATAGGATTATAGAACTTTGAAATTTTCTAGTCTGTCTTCTAAGCTGGCTTCACCAAAACCTAAAACATGGTCATTTTTCTCTCCCAGTTCTAAAGTTCTCCTTGGGTAATTATTTTGCCATTCATTCTATCATCTTAGAACTATTGTGATGAGAAAGTTGTTCCCTACGTATAATCTGAATTGTTCCTACTTTACTGTAATTTAAATCCATCTTCTCTTGTTTTCTCCTTAGTGGAGATGGAGAACACTTGGTCACCATCTTTCTTAAAATAATCCTTCATATTACTGACGACAGTTAAGTCACTTCTTAGCTTTCTTTTCTGAATGATCTCAGTTGTTTTGGCTTTTCCTTGTAGGCCATAGCTCTTTAGTTGTTTTTGTTTTATTCCTGAATCCTCCTTAAATTTTTTATATATCTCAAAATATGGCTCCCATACAGGCTCTTACACGAGGAGTGACTACTACTCAACACAGTTGATTATTTCACAGTTCCTGCATGCTTTGTTTCTCTTAGTACTAGCTTCTTGGTTTGTTTGGGGTTTTTTTTTCTCTGTTGCATTATTCATTTAAAATTTAGCAGCTTTGCATTGAGCTCTGTTTTGTAAATTTTTGACAGGAACTTGCAAAGAAATATTCAGACAAGCTAGAATGCTGTGAAAATGAAATAGAAAAAATTATTGAAGAAATACGGTGTAAAGCAATTGAACGTGGAACAGGAAATGAAAACTTTAAAACCACAGGTGTTGCTACAATTGAATTATTCTTGCCTCCAAGACTAAGAAGAGTAAGTAATTATCTTTACTAATATAGATGCTCATTATTTGTTCAGTGCTCAAGCTAATTGTGATTTTAAAATTATAGTGTTATAGTATTTAAATTTAAAGTATTTCAAATTTTGGGAAAGCAATTTCCCATTTTTATTTTTTTAAAAGATATCTTAAGAGGACTTAATTTTAATGGTCACTTAAATGTGAGTAATAGTATAAAAGCATGTATAATATAGATTTTAACGTGATACAGTGACATCCTAAACAAATGAGACAGGTTTCCTTTTGTTTTCCTATCAAATATGATAGAATTAGCCACAATGTCTCAAGGATAAGAAGATAACTGAAAAGTCATGATGTGATCTGTATGCCATTGATAGCCTATATGACAAATCTCTGATTTACCAGCATATTGTATGCCAAATGTTTCTAAATCAGTTGTTTGAAATTTGAAATATGTTTTCTTGTAGAAATAGTGTTACAAGTGGTGGTTAAGTTCTCATGTTAGGCCACCAAAAAAAGAACTTTTTTTTTTTGGTGAGGCAGTTGGGGTTAAATGACTTGCTCAGAGTCACACAGCTAGTGAGTATTATGTGTCTGAAGTCGGATTTGAATTTGGGTCCTCCTGACTCTGGGGTGGTGCTCTATCCACTACTGCACCACCTGCCTGCCCCTAAAAAAAAAGAACTTCTTAACCCATACTATTTCTTAAATACTCTACCTTAGAAAATTGACACTGTTGCAAATATATAGCTACTGAAAAAATAGAGAGGAGAGAAGGGGTTAAGAATGCAAAGAAGGAATTCCAAGATAGCCAGACAGAGGGACAGGGGAATGTAGTTAGGGTCAGAGGACCTGGGTTCAGATTCTGTCTCTGACATGTACTAGCCCTGAGCAAGTCACTTAGCCACTCTGGTCCCCAGTTTTCTCATCTGTAAAATGAGAGAGTTGAACTAGATCACTTGTCAATCTGATTTCTGTGTTTAAAGAAAAAGCAGTGATAGAAAGGGTAGGTGCTTCCCTTCAGGGATTTTAGGACCTCTGCCGCTTAGGGTATGGCTCTCCACGTGGGTGAGATTCATCTTCTCCCCAAAAGGGAGTTTGGAGGGAGTATGAATAGATGTGCTCTCTCTTCATGGTAACAGATAAAGGAATGCTACTCCTTCATTCCAGTACCTGACTGGGGGACATTGTCTCGCATCTTGCTACTGCCAGTTTTCCCCCATTATCTAGTCTGAAGGGAATGTAATGGAAACAGCAACTTCTATATTCCCTACCATAGCTACCCAATACATAGAAACTCTAAAGAGAAAGTTCTAAGGGAAGCCCACACCCTGCATGGACCAGATATCTACAGATAAAAGCAGTTTACAGGTATTCCCACCACTTATAATGTAGTTTTGGTAAAACCAGTATTTATAAAAGCTTCTAGTACACGTTAAAGAGCTTAGTGGGAAAACCAGAGCATTTGTTCTGTGCATGTTTATTATTTCAGTTCATAAATATGTAGGGTTTTTTTAAGTAATGAAAAATTGAAAATCCATGAAGATATGTTTCCATTCATCAGTTTCTGATACTTGTCATAGACATTTTACTATTCTGGTCTTGGACAGGTACCAGAATGGTGGATTGTAATATTTTCTTAATCTCCTTCCTCTTGGTTATTTTATTGGTTAGCTTCCCTAAATCATGTCTTGGTACCAGAGTATAAACTAAAGCATCAGTTACGTATGTTGTGATTTCTGTAACATTTTTGCACTTTTCAGTTAGCTGTCTGGCTGAAATCTTTTGGGCTCTAGTTCTGACACTGCAGTAGAATTGTGTTCTAGACCCTTTCTCGTAAGTCTGTATAGCTATCATTTTAGTCCATATCCAGTGCCACAAATGTCATAATATTTGATATAAGGCCTTCTTAACAGAAAAGAATAATAGAACAGAAAAATATAAAATTAAGTACAGGGGAATCGCAATTGTAATTTTTAAAAATTTTATATTAGGATAAGAAAACCTTCTTGGAAACCAAACTGCACATCACCGGCAAAGAACTGAGATCACAGTAAGTTCAGAAAGTCTTTCTCCACTTTTCCTAAGTCTTAGTACATTTTTATAGTTTATAGACTGGATTGGATTATATGCTGTTTCCTGTATGATATCAATTACCCATCTTGGACTATCCATTTGCAATATGAAAAAAATGGTGTCTGTTCAGCGAGAAGAGCCTTGGGATTCCAGTCCTAACTATGCCACTGGCAGAACCTTTGTGATCTTCAGCAAGTCATTTAACTTCTGAGTCTTATTTTTCTCATTTTTAAGGGTCTTTTCACAAGATCCTAACTTAAGGGAATGTTGAAATTTAATTGTTTATTTTATTTATTTGTATTTTTTGAGTGTTAAATGCTTTAAGCAATAGGTGATTTTTTTTTAATAGTGAGGCAGGGTTGTTTTTGTTTTTTTGTTATTGTTATTTTAACCATATGTGTAATTGTGTAAGTAGCTCCAGGTGAAGAATTTGTACCATTCAAATCAGGACCAGCTGTACCATTTATAGTCTTGGAGAACTACCTGGGATACTGAGAACCAAGTGATTTGCCTAGAGTCATAAGTAGGACTTGAACCCAGGTCTTCTTGACACTAGAGGACAGCCCTCTATATCTCCAGCCATTACTCCCCTCTGCCTCAGGCAGTCATTCTTTTTTTTTTGTTTGTTTGTTTTTGTTTTTGGTGAGGCAATTGGGGTTAAGTGCCTAGGGTCACACTGCTGGTTCAAGTGTCTGAGGCCAAATTGATCTCAGGTCGTCCTGACTCCAGGACTGCTGCTCTATCCACTGCACCACCTAGCTACCTCTCAGGCAGTGATTTTTAAACATTTTTCCTGTTTATCCCCCCATTGTCTGCAGTTGTTTAGCCTACATTTAGGGTTAGGATCCAGAAAAGAACAGTAGAAAGTTGCATTGAGTTAGCTCTGTTATAGCCTGGTTCCTCCATGAAAACTAAAAAAGGCACAGGAGTAACTTCCATACTGATAAGTTAACTTCTTCCTGTTTAAATCCTTTACTGTGAGTTTTGGACCAAAGTCTACTAGAAATCATTTTTATTAATTTACACTATTCTATTTAAGCATTGAGGGGAGGGGAACAGGAAGAGAAAAGGGAGGGAGATTGCTTTTCAGGTGGATAAGTCAAGCACACCTTGGTCTGATCACCACTTTAATTACTTTCAGCAAGAACTAATCTTCCTTTCCAGGGCTCACCTGGAAAGGGGAGAGAACATCATTTCACAATCAACAGTTAAAGACTGATATTAGTCCAAAGGCTTCAGACCAGGATAATTTAAAGATGCTTTCTTAATATTTCTGAAAGAAGGAGCAAGTATTGCTTTAGTCAGTTTCCATAGTAGTTATGTGACATATCAAAGTATAATGCTGTATAGGTGGTCCCTGAATTATGATGAGAAGCATTCTAGAAATCTGTGGTAAAAATGATTCAGATGGAGCGTTTCACTTTTTTGGATAACAAATTTCTGTAGTTACTAATTTTTGACACTAGGTGACACTCATTCATACTGGTTGAATTTGTGTTAGTGACTGAATTTATGAAAGCAAAATGGTGAAATGCAGGAACTATCTTAGGTGTACCTTTTATGCCGAAGTGACCCTGAAAAGTTATTTGTTAAGTTGTTTTTTAATTTGAATTGTTTTGAATGACATGAGATTATTTTTTTTTAAAAAACCTTTGAGGAAAATCAATATAAATGATGGCAGTTTATATGTTTTCTCTATTTTACTTATTTGTCAGTTTCAGTTGAAAATGGAAAGTATTTATATATATTTAATACTCCAGCTAAACAGTCATTATAAGGATGATGATAGCAAATGTGAGTTGTCCTATATCTACATTTTTTGTGTTGCTTATAAATGAATACTAAATTGAAATGTACTTGTAACTATGTCTGAATTTTCTCTTATATTTTGATTTATTAAGATATATAGGATTAACCAAAGTTACATTTAAAAGGAGAACTGAAAACTTAATTCCAATAAATAGATTTGCTAACTGCTTTTCCTGATGGTTTTTGGTTTTTAGTTTTCATAATGAAAACAACAATTCACAGGTACATAGCACTATATTTATAGTTTCAAAGTGTTTTTATATATAAAATAATTTCATTTGAACCACATAACCATGCAAAGCAGTTCATATAAAATGACCTTAGTTTTCTCACTTAAGAAAACTTATGTGACTTTCCCAAACCTATTATCTTGAAGGTCTTGATTAGCGTTACTGTCCTTATGTTGAAAGTCGAGTATTTCGTCATGAAATAGTAATACAGAATTTTCCTGATTCTGTCTTTCAGAAAAATTGAAACTTCCCCCTCTGGTAGCCTATATTTCTATTTGTGAAAATTGAAATCTGTTTCATAGGTAATGTAATATAAACATTTGTATTTTACAATGACTTTTATCCATTTTATTTTGTAGAATAGCTGAAACCTTTGGATTTCAAGAAAACTACATTAAAATAGTTATAAATAAGAAGCAACTTCAATTAGGTATGTATTGATTAAATCTGTAGGGTTTTAAAAAATAATTTATAGCACTAAACAATGAAGAAATTTAGATATTTGAACCTTTCCTCTTCATTGATTATATGGTGTTAGATCAGTGAGCTTAGAGGTAATGCTTCATTTCACTCTTTTTCTTCACCATGGAAATCATCTTGACCATCTCTAACATGAAGAAGAATGGCAAGTAGAATTCTGTCTGCTTTCTGCCTTCTACCTTTTCACTCTACTGAATTTGAACTTGTGAAGCTCAATGGGAATTGCTTGCCCTTCTCAGCCAGTGTAATTTTCTTAGTTCTCTCTTGCCTTGATTTCCGGTCAATAAACATGGGGCTCCTACTCTGTGCAGAGTACTGCACTAAGTGCTGGGGTACAAAAGCACACAAAAACAGCCCTTTCCTTGAAGATCTTTTAGGTTTACCAACATTTGGTACTGTTTACTTACAAGTTATTGAAATTCTACTTTTTTCCTCCCTTTATTTCCCATGATCTTATGTTATCCTGGTTCTTTTCTTCTATTTACCAGACATCTTCCTGATATTTCCCTGATCAGTTCCTGATCATTTGCACTTCTCTTTTTTTTCTCCATTTGTGCTCTCATTTGTTCTATAGTTTCAGCTATTACTTTGGATGGCCCCCAGGTCTTCATCTCTAGCCCTGATCTCTCTGCTAGCTGCCTGATAGGCTCAGTCTGCTGCTTCCTTATTGCTTTGAATGGTACAAATCTCCCATTGGTCCAATCTCACAACTTTATCTTATCCTCATCTTCCTTAGATAGTCACCAACTCCCATTGATTCTTTCTTCACAATATCTTTTCCTTCCATTTTCATTCCCACTGGTAGAAATCTAGTTCAGACTTTTATCCTCTCTAGATTATTGCAAAAATTAACTAGCATTTCTCCATCAAGTCTAACCTGCACGTAATTGCCAGATTAAACTTCCTCGAATATCACTTTGATCTTGTTACGTTATTGTTCAGAAACTTATCAGTTCCTACCCATTTCCCTTACATAAGATCTGGACTTCTTCAAAATGTCCAAGTCTGCTGTACAAGTCATATCTCCCAGTACTCCTCTACATAAGCCATTCCAACTAGACTGATATATTTACTCTCAGACATACCATGCACTTCTCAACTTCCTTATGCTTTCTACCTTAATGACATTATACTCTGCCCTGTTCTACTTATCTGCATCCACCCTAGCCTTTAAGATCTGCTGAAATTCCATCTCTTCTCTAAAGCGTTCTCTGATCACTCCATAAAGAATGGAACTTTCCATACTCTTAGAATCTACAACCCTTGTGGACTGTGTCATTTACTTGTGCTAACTTGTACCATCTCATCTGGTGTTATCATATTTAAATCTAACTTAATGTGCTTGTTTTATATTCCCTATTAGGTTGTAGGTTTCTTGAAGGCAGTATGAGTCACTTGTACTTCATTTACTCCACAAAGGCTAACATAGTATATTCTGCCATAGGGTCTAGCATAGTGCCTGGAACTTTGCAGGCACTTAGTAAAGCTTGGTTGACTTTATTGGATATTTTAAAATTCCAGTGACTTTTTTTGAAAAGAATTACTGAGGGCAGCTAGGTGGCACAGTGGATAGAGCACTGGCCCTGGATTCAGGAGGACCTGAGTTCAAATCCGGCCTCAGACACGTAACACTTACTAGCTATGTGACACTGGGCAAGTCACTTAACCCCAGTTGCCTCACCAAAAAAAAAAAGAAAGAAAGAAAAGAATTACTGAAAGAATAAATTGATTTTAGATCAACTAAATTTCCCCAAATGGAAATATAGTATTTCTTAATGTTTTTACTTACTAAGGTTAATATATGTTTAATGCTACCATTGTCACAAGGCAAATTCAAATGTATTTATCCCAGAATGATCCTATAATGGTTTTTTGAAGGTTAGTATAACTCCCAAAGTGCCCATTTAATTTGTAATAATGTTTTCTTGATTGGTATTTGTTACCCACTACATTTAGGCCTGGGCCACATTTTACTTCACTTCCTAGCCATCTTCTCTTTGTCTTCTCCCTCTTCCCTCTCCTCCATTTTCCAGTCTTGGAATCATAATCAAATCTGCCCATTGATCCTTCCTGGAAAGGCTGTGACTATCACTTCACTTTGGCTACAACTCATCATCCCTGTAACTTCTCCAAAACAAAATATCTTTCCCTGGCCACTTCTCCCATATATGTGTTTTGTCTTTCTAGTACTGTATTGCAAATTGCAAATATTGCACATCTCTTGAGGGCAGGGACTGTCTTTGCTTTTATATTTGTAACTCTGGCTATTTGATACATAATAAATGCTTAGTAACAACAACTGCTAGCATTTACATAACGTTTTTAGATTTGCAAAGTGCTTTAACAATATAATCTCATTTTACTTCACAATAACCCTGGGAAGTAGATGCTGTCATTATCCCCATTTTAAAGATAAGGAAACTGAGTTGGACAGAGTTTATTTGACTTGCCCAGGATCACACAGTTTATGTCTGAGGCAGGATTTGTGGTCAGGTCTTCCTGACTCCATCCTAGCTCTATCCACTGTGCCACCTAGATGCTTTTTCATTCATTCACCTTTCTATGGTACTTTAAAGTTTATAAAGCACATTCCTTAGAGAAATCTTGTAAAATATTTAATGTAGACATTATTAGCTCCACATTATAGGGGGCAACTAAGTGGTACAGTGGATAGAATGCTTGGCCTGATGTCAGGAAGAGTCATCTCCCTGAGTTCAGATCTGGCCTCAGACACTTACTAGCTATGTAACTGTGTGACCCTGGGCAAGTTATTTCACTCTTGTTTTCCTCAGTTTCCTCATCTGTAAAGTGAGCTGGTAGAAGAAATGGCAAACTGTTCCAGTCTCTTTGCCAAGAAAACCCCAAATGGGGTCACAGAAAGTTGGACACAATTGAGCCACAACAAAACAAAAATAGACGAGGAAGCTGAGGCTCAAGAAGGAGGGCCTGCAGCTGGCGAGCTTCATGGCAGGTCCGTGAGCCGACGGACTGGATGTCTCTACTCACCTGTCACTCCAATTCTGTAGGGAAAAGCCTGGAAGAGCAAGGGGTCACACACAATGTGAAAGCTTTGGTGCTTGAGCTCAAGCAGTCAGAAGAGGACGCAAGAAGAAATCTTCAGGAAGAAGAACTAGAGCAAAGTGAAGCTGACAAAAAGGAAAAGAGGATGCAGAGAACAAAGCGAGGCCTGGAAATACTGGCACAGAGAGGTATGCATACGAGCGTTTGCTTGTCACCTTCTGCTGGTGAAAAATACAACTGAGTTCTTTTATTGGGGTGAGAGTAAAACACAAGCACATTTCAGTGGATTAGCATGGTGGTTGTCTCCCTTTCAGTTTTTGGAACCCTTTGTCCTTGGCAGTTTGGTTTATGTATTGTTCTATATCATCATTGTTGACTGTGAGCTAGTGAAAGTTTATTTTTGTTTTGTTGCAGCTGAGACTGTGGATCCTGAAACAACTCCATACTTAGAAATAGCTAATCAAACAGGCAGATCAATCAAAATACCCACAGCAGAAAAAAAAGTAAGTACTTTAGTTTCATAGTTCATTCTCAGATTTTGTGTTAAGTAAAAATGTGGTTTTTTTCTAGCCATTTGGTGTCTCTATAATTCATTGGATCAAATGATAGATTTCTGTTCATGGTCCTACAAATAGAGTATGTAACAATTGTAGTGTGGAACTGTTCCCAACGGGAACTAATTCTGTGACTTTTAATAAAGGAACATAATATGTAGGCACTTTTCTCTAATATTGTCTATACTTGTGGGGAATTTAGTAGTGGAGGGCTTCAGTGATTTACTTGGATAAATTTTCTTCAGCATATTTACCCACATGACAAAGTTCATAAGCTCGCATTCTAAAATAGGTTCAGATTCATGAAAATTTGCTATTTAGATAGCGATTTTTTTCATTTTCTAAAAAACATTTTAGTTGCATTGGAAATACCAGTGAAGATATGAATAAGAAATCCAGAAACAGAATCTTGTGATTAAGAACAGAAACATATTCATTCCCAAAAGATTCTATAGTATTCCTGGCAAGTTTTTCTTATTTATGTTCCTATGTACTATATTAAACTTAGACTGTACATACCATCCATCATACTGAAATAAAAAGATGAGAATAAAGGGACAGCTTTCACTAATTCATGAAATAAAATTTAGAAATCTTTACTGTGGCCACTTGATACTGCCATAATGAGGCTCATTAAACCAAGAATGCTGTTTTTTCATGTGATAACTTGTTATGGTATACATCTCTTGAGATCTTTCAGTATTTAAAATAAATTTTGTAGAAATCAGTTTTCCTTTTACTTCATTTGGCTTTTAGATTAAGTTGTGAATCTACCTTGATATTAAAGATATATTTTTACTTTTTTTGGAAATATAAATGGAAATTTTCCATTGCCCTGAATTACAATTAAAAGTGACCTTTTCCAATCCACTTTTCCCTGTAGGCCCTTATGTTAGCTATGGGATATCATGAAAAGGGTCGTGCATTTCTGAAAAGGAAAGAATATGGAATAGCATTGCCGTGTCTGCTGGATGCTGACAAATACTTCTGGTAAGTATCTTTGGACTCCTTAATTTTAAGAGAAATGACAAAATACTTTTTTAGGTTCTCTATTTCAAGCCTACATAGTGGTGAAGTGGGCCTCTTATGTGAATATTACTTCTTTAAATCTAACTTAACTTTCTGCAGAAATTCTTCTTCTTCTTCTGCTTTTTTTTTTTTGGTTCGTCTTTGGTGAGGCAATCGAGGTTAAGGGACTTGCCCAGGGTCACACAGCTAGTAAGTGTTAAGTGTCTGAGGCTGGATTTGAACTCAGGTCCTCCTGACTCCAAGGCCAGTGCTTATCCACTGTGCCACCTAGCCGCCCCCAGAAATTCTTCTTAATAATATGCTTTTGACCATATCTTGGATCCAGAGAACAGTATTGTAACAAGGATCCATTGAATGTATCACAGTACCCTGACCCAAAGATCTCTGTTTTTTTCTAAGAAAAAATTAAATGTAAAACATCTTTATTCTTGTTGACTGGCACTGAAGCATTGAAACAAACTCGGTCATAATGCTTAAGAGTAGACTTACAAAAAAGAAATAGAAATCTCTAGTTGGATACCTGGCTTGAGGAAAAGGAATAAGAATTAATGATGAGCACCATTTCAACATCTTGAATTTTGGAATAGTTTTTGGACACACACCGGTGAGGAATCTATTCAGTTTCACTAAAGTGTATCTGGGTTTTCAAAATCATCTTCCTACCCCTGTAGCAACTCCCAGGTTTTCTGGCAGATAACCTTTTAATTTTATCCTCAGTATGTAGGAGACCCTGCATACTTCCAGAAAGAGAATAGCTCAATTCCAAATAAGATCATCTTCTATACAGGATTCCTCGGAGCGTATCAGAAGCCCAGAGGTCCTTCAGAACACAACTATTTGTACTTAGACCTGGAGCTAACTCTGAAAAATGGCTATATGTCTCCAGTTCAAGTCCTTATGTGATTCAGACATTCTGGAGCTGATCTAGATTGCTGGCTGGGAATTTTCATTCAGCTTGTTGGTAGCAATTGGCATCTGTGCCTAGGATATAAGGGTGGAAACCTTAGAGATTTGAGTCTAGCAGAAAAAAAAAGCAGGGAAGTGTTTTTGTACCCATAATATTATTTAAGTAGTACAGAGGCCATATCTGTTTTTACATCTTTGTATGCTTTATACAACATCACATGTCAGTATTTGCCATCATTTAGTTTGGGGAGGTTTTTCAAGGTTATAATTGCCAAGAGGATGAATGAAAAATGTTATATGCCACTTGAGAAATAACATACATAGTAAATTTTCATTTATCCATGATGGCAGAAAAGAATAGTGATGTGGATAATCCTAATGGTTTTACAACAAATTTACCTTCTTGGTTATGTTTTAATGGTTAGGCTTATTGGTTTGAATTCCAAGAGTAGTTGAGCTCAGAATGTAATCAACAGTCTCTTCACTTTGTACCGTGAGGCAATGTACAGGTTGTAAAATGTTTTTCTTGATTTCAAAGCAATAATATGTATGTGTATGTATGTGTTATTTTTTGTGATTATGGCATAGGTGTTGTTCATAAATAGGGGATACCCTATGTAAGTTTTTAAAAGCTTTTAGTCATTGGAATTTATTATTTCACACTTGGAATGTGTAGTGAACTTTTTTTCCTATAAAAGTCTGTTGCCTGACATAAAAACATGATCAAGTGCCACACTTAAGGAGAAAAACAGTTTTTATATTAAAAACCAACACTGAACAGGGGACATGAAACTATTTGTTAAGTAATGCACATAATAAAATGTGTATTTAAATTCCATTATATTAGCTAGTAGTTAGGGGAAGAGAAGCAGAGAGTGAGGGGAAATTAGAACAGGAGTTAAAAGAGGAAAAAGTTGGAGACAGGAGGGAGAGAAAGAGATTTGGGTTATAAAGATCATACGATTATAGGTTTAGAGCTGGGACAGAGCTTAGAGAACATTTAGGGCAACCCCATCATGTTCTAGTTAAACAGGCTCAGAGAGTTCTAAGGCCTTATCTAAGTCAGAAGTAGGATTTGAACATGGGTTACATCTGGAGTCATTTGACTCCATATTTAGCACACTATTCTTTGAATCACATTGCATTCACATGTATGAACGGATGAAGAAGAGACAGATTTAGTAGGTTCTCAGGTCAAGCTTAGTTATATTTTAACTCTTTCCATCGTATACTGGACTTTACTTGGGCTGGAGCCAAGGTGGTAGAGTAAAAGCAGGGACTCATTTGAGGTCTCCCCTAAACCCCTCCAAATACCTGTAAAAAATTACTCTAGGCAAATTCTAGAGCAACAGAGCCCACAGAAACAGAGAAACAAATTTCCAGCCGAAGGCAACCTAGATGGTCTACAGGAAAGGTCTGTTTGTGCCTGGCTGGGAGACGAGCACAGTCCAGCGCAGGCTGCAGTGGCACAGAGAAGGCCCCAGTAGGCCTAGAGCAGGCCTCCAGAGAACAAATCACTGGCAGCTGTGGCAGTGTCCAGACTTCCCAACACACAGACACCAAAAACAACTTAGTAGGGCAGTAGGAAAGGTCTGTCGGACTTGAGTGAGAGAGGAGCGTAGTCTGGCCCCAGTCCTAGCATAGCCCGGCAGTGGCGGCAGCTGCTTCTGGAGTTCTCAGCCCACAGACTGTAAGGGGATTGAAAAACTGATCAGAAGAAGATTACCGGAATCTCTTTGCTGGCACTGAGGCAGGATTCTGTTGCTTTGCCTATACTTGGATATGGGTGGCAGTCCTGGGGCGAGGAGGAACACTGGCATAGCAGAGCTTGTGGCAGTAGTGGAGAGGTAACCCTCCTCACAGTTCCAGGGCAGAAAAGAGTGCTTGTGGTCACTCACAGACTAGAGCACAGGCCAGGAAAGGAGTACACACCTCACCCTTGATCTTACCACTTTGGAAGAACTGAAAACTTACAGGTCCCTACAAATATCTCTGAAAGCAGCTGCACAAAACCCCTGAAGCTTGGGACAGCATGTCCTCCACCCTCGAAGCAGAGCGCTACCTTAACGAAGAGTTAAAAAGTCAAGTATTTGACTGGGAAAATGAGCAAACGGTGGAAAAAAAAAACTCAGACTATAGAATCTTACTTTGGTGACAAGGAAGATCAAAACATACAAACAGAAGAAGACAACAAAATCAAAGCTCCTACATCCAAAGCCTCCAAGAAAAATATAGGGTGGGGGGAGGGGAGAGATGGGGAGAAATTATGGAACTCAAAAGTCTGTGGAAGTGAATGTTGAAAACTAAAAATAAATAAGTTAAAAAATAATTTAAAAAAGAATAAGAAGAATAAATGGTAGAATATGTTGTGACCTGTTAGAATTGCCCTTTGGAAGATTGATTACCAGAAAAGTTTCCAGTTTTTGTAAAATGTCAGTTCTGGATAGAGTACCTCATCAGCCTACCAGATGTATTGTGTGGTGTGCATTGGCTGCAGCCAGATCAGACATCATCTCAAATTGCTTGCAAAGAACAATCAAATGTAGCTAAAGGCCATAGCCATGAAATAGAGGTTTCTGAACCCTGCTATTGGTTTTGCATCAAAATTTTGTTTGACATAAAGCTTGTAAAGAGCATTTTATTCTTATTCAAATACATTAAATCAAGTCAAGAAGAATTCATTAAAAGCCTACTGTATGCAAGAAACTGTATAAGCATTAAGCACTGAAGTTATGAAGAAAGGCAAAAAACAGTCCTTGATCTCAAGGAATTTACAGTCTAATGAGACAGGCAACATGGCAAATAACTTTGTACAAACAAGACATACAGTATAAATTTGAGATAATCTTAGAGGAAAGGCACTAGCTTTAAGGGGAGATTGGAAGAACCTTCTTGTAGAAGGCAGGATTTTAGTTGGGACCTGAGGAAAGCTAGGAGAAAGGATATGAGTCAGTCAGACATTTATCAAGTGCTAGGCATTCTGCTAAATTTGGGGGAAACCAATATGAAAAAGAAAGTTTCTCACCTCGAGAAACTTACAATCTAATGGAGAAAGATAACACACAAAAGGAAACTGAAAAGTGGAGGTGGTGGTGGAGAAAAAGTACTGGGACAGATGGGGGCAAGGTGGAGAAATCAAAGGAGCACAGCCAGTGGGAAGTGAAGAGAAGACTGTCCTAGGCCCCCTTCTTCAATGCCAGTTTTGAAGCTCATTGCTCCTGCGCACCAGTCAGAAAGTACTGAAGTTGATTTGTTGTGTCAAAGTGATGAGGTTTCCCGTTGATGACATTCTTGTGGACACGGTGTAGTGAGTGAAGGAGTGAAGCCAGTGGGAAATGAAGGCTGTGAGGAGGGAGAGTATTCTAGGCATTGGGGACAGCCTCGAGTAGGGAAATGGGCTGTGAGAGGAGCAAGGTTAGCATCACTGGATCACAAAGTGTTCAAAGGGAAGAAGTTGTAAGAGTGGAACAGCAGGAAGAGGCCAGGTTATGAGGCTTTAAAAGCCAAGAGAACGTTTTAGATTCGATTCTGGAGTTGATAGGGAGCCACTGGAGCGTATCAGATAAGGTGAGGGTGTGATCATATCTACAGAGATCAGTTTGACAGTGAAGGAGTCAAGGATGATACCTAGGTTTTTGAATCTGGGTGATTAGGAGGATAGTGGTACCAGTGAAATTAGGGAGAGGGTAGGGTTTAGGAAGAAGGGTAATACACGTTGAGTTTAAAATATCTAGAAACATCCTCTTCAAGATGTCCAAAAGGCAATTGGAGATGTGACTAGAGGTTAGGAGAGAAGTTAGAGCTGGATAAGTGGATTGGAGAATCATCTCCATAGAGGTGATAATTAAATTCATGGGAGCTGCTGAGACAAGTGAAATAGCATAGAGGGAGAAAAGAAGAGGACCTGGAACATCATTATATGGAATTAATGTCCTGGAATACTGTGAGTGTGAGTGGCTTTAAATCATGAATATAGCAATCAATTAGTTTATAGACTTAAAAGCCCATGTTTTACATTGGTAGAAAAAAAGCACCTGGTGACCTCACCCAGGACT